GGAGTGGAATGACAGCCCCTAGGAGTAACAGAAGTGTTCTGGGACTGGAATTGAGAGCCCACTGAGTGGAATGACAGCCCCAGGGTGTAGCAGGAGTGTTCAGGGACTGGAATGAGAGACCAAGGAGTGGAATGACAGCCCCAAGATGAAACAGGAGTGTTCTGGGCCTGGGATGACAGGCCACAGAGTGGAATGACAGCCCCAGAGGGTGGAGCAGGAGTGCATGAACTGAAATGAGAGACCACGGAGTGGAATGGCAGCCTCAGGGTGGAGCAGGAGGGCATGAACTGAAATGAGAGACCACGGAGTGGAATGGCAGCCTCAGGGTGGAGCAGGAGGGCATGAACTGAAATGAGAGACCACGGAGTGGAATGGCAGCCTCAGGGTGGAGCAGGAGGGCATGAACTGAAATGAGAGACCACGGAGTGGAATGGCAGCCTCAGGGTGGAGCAGGAGTGCATGAACTGGAATGAGAGACCACAGAGTGGAATGACAGCTCCAGGGTGGAGCAGGAGTGCATGAACTGGAATGAGAGACCACAGAGTCTAATGACAGGCCCTGGGGGGAGCAGGAGGGTTCTGGAACTGGAATGAGACACTACGGACTGGAATGACAGCCCCAGGGGGGAGCAGGACTGTTCAGGGACTGAGATGAGAGGCCCCAGAGTGGAATGACAGCTCCAGGGTGGAGCAGGAGTGCATGAACTGGAATGAGAGACCGTGGATTGGAATCACAGAGTGGAATGACAGCTCCAGGGTGGAGCAGGAGTGCATGAACTGGAATGAGAGACCGTGGATTGGAATCACAGAGTGGAATGACAGCCCCAGGGTGTAGCAGGAGTGTTCTTTGACTGGAATGAGAGACCGTGGACTGGAATCACAGAGTGGAATGACAGCCCCAGGGGGGAGCAGGACTGTTCAGGGACTGAGATGAGAGGCCCCAGAGTGGAATGACAGCCCCAGGGGGGAGCAGGACTGTTCAGGGACTGAGATGAGAGGCCCCAGAGTGGAATGACAGCCCCAGGGGGGAGCAGGACTGTTCAGGGACTGAGATGAGAGGCCCCAGAGTGGAATGACAGCCCCAGGGGGGAGCAGGACTGTTCAGGGACTGAGATGAGAGGCCCCAGAGTGGAATGACAGCCCCAGGGGGGAGCAGGACTGTTCAGGGACTGAGATGAGAGGCCCCAGAGTGGAATGACAGCCCCAGGGTGTAGCAGGAGTGTTCTGGGACTGGGATGAGAGACCACTGAGTGTAATGACAGCCCCTGGGTTTAGCAGGACTGTTCTGTGACTGGAATGAGAGACCGGGGACTGGAATAACAGCCCCAGGGTGGAACAGGAGTGTTCAGGGACTGGAATGAGAGACCACAGACTGGAATGATAGCCCAGGGTGGAGCAGGAGTGTTCAGGGACTGGAATGAGAGACCACTGAGTGTAATGACAGCCCCTGGGTTTAGCAGGACTGTTCTGTGACGGGAATGAGAGACCGTGGATTGGAATCACAGAGTGGAATGACAGCCCCAGGGTGGAGCAGGAGTGTTCAGGGACTGAGATGAGAGGCCCCAGAGTGGAATGACAGCCCCAGGGTGTAGCAGGAGTGTTCATGGACTTGAATGAGAAACCAC